GCAAAAAAGAGGAAGACCCTCAATGAGATGGACTGACACAGCGGCTACAACAATGGACTCAAACATAGCAACGATTGTGAGGATCGTGCAGGACAGGGCACTGTTTAGTTCTGCTGTACATAGGGTTGCTATGAGTCGAAACTGATTTGATGGCACCTAACAACAACAAAGCCAGCAATTGGGGCAGGCTTTGTGACTGCTTGCTGACAATTGGAGGAAGTTCTAGGTGACAGCATCATGACATACTTTTTAGCTTATGAATATTTAAGTCTGTGGACCAGCTATCTAGCACCTCTGAGTCCCCTATGTAAAGGGGGATTAATAATATTTCGGCTAGAACGGAGTCTCTGGGCGATGCAAATGGTTAATGAGTTTGGCTGCTAACCAAAGGGCTGGAGATTTGAGTCCACCCAGAGGTGCCTCGGAAGAAAGGCCCGGCGATCTACTTCCCAAAATTCGGCCATTGAAAACCCTATGGAGCACAGTTCTACTCTAACACACATAGGGTTGCCATGAGTCAGAGCTGACTTGATGGCAACTGGTGGTTTGGGCTAGAATAATACTTTTAGCCCAGGGCTTGGCACATAGTAGATGCTCAGTCATAATAGCTAACATTTACTGCATGTAATAACACTAAAAGCCAAACCAGTTGCCATCCAGCCGACTCATGGGACCCCATGTATGTCAGAGTAGAACTGTGCTCCAGAAGGTTTTCAATGGCAGAGTTTTTGGAAGTAGATTGCCAGGCCTTTCTTCCAAGGCACCTCTTGGTGGACTTGAACCACCTGAGTAATCTAACCGTTTATACCATCCAGGGACTCCTGCAATAACACTACTAAGTATTGCTAACACTATGATGCAAATATTGCAAATGGTGTAAAGTGAGGTTTGCAGAGGTTAAGTAACTAACCACGCATCCCACAGTCAGGGAGTGATGGACCAAAGATTCAAACCTAGACTCTCGGGCTCGGAAAGCCTGTTCTTAAGCATGAATACTTCTGGCCATTCAGAATGGACTCTCCTTGGTTGGATGTGCCTATTTCTCACCTTGGGTGACCTGAAAGGTGTAGATTCAGAACCCACCCCTCGCCCCCAGGATAAGTGGCAGAACTGGCACCCAGGCAGTGCTAAGATTGGATTTGCTGTGAAGAACAAAGCAACGAGTTGAGACTAATCAGAATGTTCTGACATTCTGAACTTGGGGGAGAGGAGGACTGAATCCAAAAAACCCAGCTGGGATGAGTGACATCTTAGTCAGGGGGCTGACAGCGGATGTGAAACAGGCTGCTCAGATGTGGGGGATGCTGAGAAGAAGGTTCAAAACAGGACGAGGTGCTGAGCTCAGGTGAGAACTTGAGGCTGTGTTCTATGTGCCTCCAGCTCTATCTGGTAGCCAGGAGACCCTGGGTCACTTCAGGTCACTGGAATTTAGCATGGAGAAAGGGCAGCTGCTCTGTTGTGGAGCCTGGACCATTTGTTGTGACCTTTCTCTCTGCCCTTCCTTCCAGTCCCAGCAGGGAGGAGCTGACGGAGCTGGTTCATCCCCGACTGATGGGAAATGGATCTTAGGGAGTAGTCACAGGTCTCAGGTCCAAGCAATAATAAACAGGGTGGCAGGATGGGTGGCAGGTCAAGTCTTTGCTCAGACAGCGTGGTGAGTTCTCTTCACGAGTTAGCTCACTGAATCCTCACAACAACCACATGAGATAGGTAGAAGGTACTATTATTACTCGCACTTTACAGATGGGGAAACTGAGGTTCAGAGAAGTTAAGTGGCTTTCCCAAGATCACCAGCTAGTAAGCTGCTGTCAGGGCTGCCATCTTTGTCTGGGAGCTTGTACCCCTTAACCACGTTGTTAGTTGCCATCAGGTCGAACTCATGGTGACCCCATGTGTGCAGAGTAGAACTTCTCCATAGAGTTTTCAAGGCTATCACCTTTTGGAAGCAGACTGCCGGCTCTTTCTTCTGAGGTGCCTACCAACCTTTGAGCTAGTAATCCAGTGCTTAACCGTTTGGAGAACCTTATTAAAAAGCACCTGAGGCTGCTCTTCCCAGAGAGGACAGCAGGGGGCAGTGTAACCAGTAAGCATGGATAATAATTGTTGAGGGCTCACTAAGTACCAGGAATGGTGCTAATCTTTCAAGGCCCGCTCATATCCCATCTCGATCATTTGTTTGTTTATTCATTCATTCAGTATACTGAATACTAGGGACTGTGCTAGATGTTTTAGAGACATAATTTAATCTTCACAACAATATTCTGGCATTTTGTTGTTGTTAGGTGCTGTCGAGTCGATTCGGACTCCTAGTGACCCTATGTACAGCAGAACGAAACACTGCCCGGTCCTGCGCCATCCTCACAATCCTTGTTATGCTTGAGCATATTGTTGCAGCCACTGTGTCAATCTATCTCGTTGAGGGTCTTCCTCTTTTTCACTGAGCCTCTACTTTACCAAGCATGATGTCCTTCCCCAGGGACTGATCCCTCCTGATAACATGTCCAAAGTATGTGAGACATAGTTTCGCCATCCTTGCTTCTAAGGACCATTCTGGTTGCACTTCTTCCAAGACAGATTTGTTCATTCTTTTGGGAGTCCATGATATATTCAATATTCTTCGCCAACACCACAATTCAAAGGTGTCAATTCTTCTTCGGTCTTCCTTATTCATTGTCCAGTTTTCACAAGCATATGAGGTGATTGAAAACACTGTGGCTTGGGTCAGGCGCACCTTAGTCTTCAAGGTGACATTTTTGCTTTTCAACACTTTAAAGAGGTCTTTTGCAGCAGACTTGCCCAGTGCAATGAATCTTTTGATTTCTTGACTGCTGCTTCCATGGGTGTTGACAACTAATGTTCTGGGGTAGCAACTATCATAATTCCCATTTTGCAAAAGAGAACATTGAGGCTCAGAGAGAAAGTTGCTCAGGCTCACACAGCTGGTGAATTCTCAGGGGCGGTATTCTAGTCAGGTCCATGACTCACTCCCTGCTGAGGAGGAAGGGCTTTATTGGGAAAGCAGGGCCTTGAGCAACATTTCCCCTACCCAGGGCCAGGCTGCCCTAGCCTTGGGAAAGGGGGACTGGTCTAACTGCCCAGTGTGTGGGTCTGTGTGTGTGGCCCCTCTGCCTTAACTCAGGCTGGGGACTGAAACAACAAGGAGTGGAGGAAGCTAAGGAGGACAGCTTTCCTTCAGTCCTTGTCCCAACCTGGTCTCCAACCACAGAAGTAGCTATCCCCTCCCCACCACTCCCCATTCTGCAGTATCCATGATGTCAGCCCCACCTCCAAGCTATCTGGCTCCTCCCATCCCCCCCTCTCCACCCAGTTTACAGATGGGTAGAACTGAGACCTCTCCCAAGACCTCATCCTACAAAAGCCAGGATGAAAACCAAGTTTCCCAGGCTTTGATCCAGCATTCTCTCCATTCTTCCTCCCTAGAAATCTTTCCCAGGAGTGCAGACAAGCCATGGTAGGAGAGCCAGAAGGGGGCCTCGGTGGTGGAAATGCAGCCCTCTGCAGCTAGACCCACCTGGGTTTGTGGAGGCCTACCACTCACCAGATGTCACTTCACTTCTGCGTCCTCATCTGTAACATGAGTACAGTAATGCCAACCTCGGAGCCCCGATGACACAGTGGTTAAGAGCTCCACTGCTAACCAACAAGTCGCCAGTTCAAATTCACCACTCCTTCGAAATGCTAGGAAACCCTGGTGTCGTAGTGGTTATGGGCTACGGCTGCTAACCAAAAAGGCCAGCAGTTCGAATCCACCAGGCACTCCATGGAAACCCTATGGGGCAGTTCTGTTCTGTCCTATAGGGTCGCTATGAGTTGAAATTGATTCGATGGCAACGGGTTGCTGTTTGTTGTTGTTTGCAAACTCTATGGGGCGGTTCTACTCTGTCCTATAGCAATGAGTTGGAATCAACTCCATGGCAATGGGTTTTGTTAATACTAACCTCACAGGGCTGCTGAGAGCTTTAAGTGAGTAATATGTGCACGAAAGCATCTGGAATACAGTAGGTGCTCAGCCAACCTTAAGTCCAACCTTCGTCCCCAAAGAACTTATGTGGGGGAAAGAACGCCCCCCACCCCACAACGGCCACACACAAACGAAACCCGTTGCTGTGGAGTCAATTCCGATCCATGAGACCACATGTGTTACAGAGTAGAACTTAATTCCCTAGGGTTTTCTTGGCTTTAATCTTTACAGAAGTAGATCGCCAGGCCTTTCTTCCATAGTGAAAAGAGCCCTGGTGGCGCAGTGGTTAAGTGCTCAGCTGCTAGCCAAAAGGTGGGTGGTTGGAACCCACCAGCTGCTCAATGGGAGAAAGACGTGCTTCTCTCAAGATTTACAGCTTTGGAAACCCGATGGGCAGTTCTACTCTGTCCTACAGCGTCACTGAATCAGAATCCACTCAATTGCAATGGGTTCTTCCACAGCACTGCTGGGGGGGGGGGTCCAATCGCCAACCTTTTGGTTAGTAAAGTGCAAACAAATTTGCGGAACCCAGGGACTTTTACGCGCGCGCACACACACACACACACACACGCACGCACGCACGCACGCACACACAAAGAGCAGAATATTAGAAAATCAGAATATTGGAAAACAGAAGTGAAGGTTATGGGAATTTCGGAAGGGGGAGTTTCATCCCCCCATACGCTATTTGATAACCCCGAGTGGACAAAGGAAAAGCAACAATGTGGAGAACAGATGGGAGGACAGCTGCATTGAGGTATCACTATTTTTCCAGTGGCCGGAAAAGGAACGTGACCTATCCCAAACACACAGTAATTTGGCAAAAGGGCTTATTCAAGAGACCACGTTTGCAGCCTCCCAGGAAGGGAAGAGTCGGGCAGCGGCGGAAGGCTGGAGACCTGGCGTATGCGCGACCCTCCGCTTGGGGCCACGCCAGCGCCGGGGCGGTGCGGACTACAGCTCCCGGCATTCCCGGCGCCGCCCCGGCCCGCCTCCTGCAGCCGGGCGCCGGGGCTGCAGACTCCGCGGCGGGCGATGAGGATGGAGGCTGGGGAGGCAACGCCGCTGACAGGGGCGGGCGGCCGCGCGGCGGGCGGCTGGGGCAAGTGGGTGCGGCTCAACGTCGGGGGCACAGTGTTCCTAACCACGCGGCAGACGCTGTGCCGGGAGCAGAAGTCCTTCCTCAGCCGCCTGTGCCAGGGCGAGGAGCTGCAGTCGGACCGGGTGAGGCCGCGGGCGGGGACCAGCCCGGCGGGGTCCGCGGCTCCCCAGAAAAGTGGCTGTTCGGCCGGCCCGCCCACCCGCCAGTCTGCAGACGCGGCTGGCTTTATCTCCGAAGGGCCGGAGGCGGGAAGACCTGGAAGGAGGGGGGAGGGAGTGGATCCGAGAGATAGGGATGTGCCCATTGCCGTGGCAACGGGACAACGCGAGGCTCACGGCCATTTGGAGCCTTCGAGGCTGACCCAGGGCGCCCACCCCTGGGGGCTGACTGTCACACCCGGGACGCTAACCCTCCTTTGGGGCTGCGGGGACAGACGGACACCATGGGACCGTCCTACCCAAACGGACTCCCGCTCTGAGGAAGAAGTTGATTAGACCACTTCTCTCCATCCTTTGGGGTGCGGTGAGCAGGGTGGAGGAGTCCCCGGTGCCCTCTCAGCTGGGCTCCCGTCAGGGAGGAGCACTGGCCCCACAGCACCGTTTCTGGGCTTCCATCCCAGCTCAGCTGCAAACGGCCTGTGTGACCTTGGGTGGATCCTTCCCCATTCTGGGCTCAGCCTCCTCGTCTGTCTCCCCAGGGGGCTGGTCTGGAGATGACCTCTAAGGTCATCCCATGCCCGGACCCGCCGGCCCTGTGACCTTGGGGAAGTCCCCTCACCTCTTGAGATCTCAGTTTTCTCTACAGAGTTGAGCCCTGAATGCCTGCCCTGCCTCCCTGCAGGATATGAGTGTCCAATGAGATGATGGCGCCTTTGGAAACTTGTAAACACTCCCCCGATGACTGAGGATCTGTAGAGACGAGTGGGGCTGGCTTCAGGGGACAACCACTAACAGGACTGTTTACTGAGCCCTGCCTGGGGCCGGGATCATTGAGACCTCATCCACTGAGTGGTTACAGTGATCCTTGGTTACAGGGGAGAGGAGTGCGCTCAGAGGCCACATCACGGGCCCAGGGTCACACAGTCGGGCAAAGGCCGAAGCAGAATTTGAACCTAGGTCCATCTGACCCCCAGACCTCTTTGCTCCATCATTCTACCTCCTCCCTTCTAGCCTCTATCCCTCCAGTACTTTGTGGGGCGTGAAGCCAGGGAAGGGTTGTATGTGTGGGGTTGGGCAGGCTAGGAGGCCTCACTCTTCTCTCATTGCCTGCGTCCCTCACCTCTGTAGGATGAAACGGGGGCCTACCTCATCGACCGTGACCCTACCTATTTTGGCCCCATCCTGAACTTCCTCCGGCATGGCAAGCTGGTGCTGGACAAGGACATGGCTGAGGAGGGTGAGTTGGTGTAGGGATCCGCCCTGGGACCCACATCCTATCCCCGCCCTCTGCAGCCCACTGGGTTTTCCGTAGAGGCCCGAAGCCATTTCTCACTGCTGGGAAGACATCTGTTTTCTTCCATGTCTCCTACCTCTTCTCATCCTTGACAGGGCTAAATCCCACAAGCCTCTGTCTAGGCTGAGCCTGGGGGCTCTGCCGAGGTGACAGGCCCCAAGCTGTCACTGGGTGCTGTTGGGGAGGTGATGGAGATGCACAGGCAGGATGGAGGGGGCCGGTGAGGCCCATGGCCTCTGTTGTGGGCGGACATGCCCTTTCTCCCTGGCCTCTGGGAAGTCAGGTGTGGATGGTCACACCCAGAGGCTGGGGTGAAGGGAATGGGCCAGAAAAGGGTATGGGGTGAGGTGGTGTTCTCTTTCTCTGAGGCCTCCAGTATCTCAAATGCCTGGTAAGGCCTGGCAGCCAGTGGTGGGTGGAACGGCTGACTCTTCCCCAAATCCAGCAGCCTCTGCAGCATAGTCCTGGTGTGGGTGGAAGATGAGGGCTGCTCTCCAGCAGGAGGTTGGCTCCTCTGGGGCCTGGAAGGCTGAGGCCCAGTGGTTCCCATCCTTGGGCCCAGCAGCTGGGGCAGCCAAGGCTCGGGGAATGGCATGCGGGCAGAGCCCCACCAGGGATAGGACCTACGGTCTGGTGCCAGGTCAACCCTTCTTTGGGGCACAGGGTGTGGCTGGGTTAGCTGACAGAGTCGGGCCGGTTTGAACATGTCACTTCTCCTCTCTGAGTCTCCACTTCTCATGTGTTTCAAACGGGGTGGTGACCCGCCTTGCAGAGAGCATGTGCTGGAATTACAGATGTCGTGACGCCCAGCCGGCAGTTGTACACTGTGGGTGTCTAGCACAGCCCATCCCTCCCCATCTGGTCCATGGTCTCTGCTCCCAATCCCCATGGGATACTGTGAGTGGGAGGCCAAGTGGCTTCCCAGCGGGTCAGGACTTCAAATCAGAGCCCCAAGCTCTCCTGCTGCCCTAGGGGAGCTCAGATAGTGTGGGTGTGGCCAGGCCCAGGAGCAGGTCTCAGCGGTAGAGATGTAAACACTCCAGCTGTGTCACAACCAGCACCTGTTTACAGGTTATGGGTTTCTCAAAGCCCTACTACTCCCAGCACCTTCAGACAAGCCAGGGCCCCGTCGGGACCTGGGAGGAGACTTACTGCTGTGTGACACTGGGCAGGTTATTTAACCTTTCTGTGCCCTCATCTGTGAAATGGGCATAACAGCAGTACCTGCCTCACTGAGCTGCTGTGAGGATAAAATGAGCTAGCACCAGTGCAGCCCTTAGCATGGCACCTAGGACGCATGGTGCAATGCTGGTTGTCATCTGCAGGGCTCTGCACAGGGCACTGGGGAGAAGGTGGTCACTTGGCCGTGACACTCACTGACCGCCTGCTCTGTGTTAGGTCCTGTGCAGGCGCTGGGGACTGATGTTGGATCAGACACAGGAAGCCCAGAGGCCAGTCAAGGAAAGGACCAGAAAGGCCCCCACCTTGGAGGAGCTTAGGGGAGTCCAAGGCCTGGGGCTTGTTCCCCTTCCCCGGCCGAGTGACTTACTTGACCTCCCGGACCCTCAGCTCCCCTCACTGTAAAATGGGACAGTAATGCCGCTCTCTCATATCCCTGGGGCTTGTGACGAGCACGTGAGACCGCAGGTGGGAAGGTGCTCCCCAAACCGTAAAGAGCTGTGATCAGGGAGATGAACGTACACAAAGATTGCACACTTATAGTGAGGAAACATGGGCTCTGAAGCCAGAGGAGCTTAAGTTTGAATCCCAACTCTGCTGCTTACTGGCTGCGTGACCCTGGACAAGCTGCTTCACTCTCTGAGCCTCAGTTTCCCCATTTGTTAAGTGAGGATAATGAAAGTACCTATTTCATAGAGCTGAGAATTAAATGCAATAAAGAATAGATGTGCCTAGTACAGTGTCTGGTACTTACTAGCTGCCGTTGAGTTGATTCTGACTCAGAGTGACCGTGTGTGTCAGAATAGGACTGAGCTCCATAGGGTTTTCAGTGGCTGATTTTTCAGGAGATTGCCAGGCCTTTCTTCCGAGATGCCTCTGGGTAGACTCAAACCGCCAATCTTTTGGTTAGCAGCCAAGCATATTAATTGTTTGCACCACCCAGAGGCTCCTTCTGATATTCACTACGTTGTTAATAAATGAGGCTGAGTAACAAGGTGCCAGCCAAGGCCTTTGTCATTGTGGCGTTTTAGGGCTCAGGCCCAATGAGCCTGGTATCTCTTGATTGGTGAGCTGGCCCACATCCCTGCACCTCCGTGCTCAGCACAGTCGAGGAAATGTGGGCCTGAGTGGTGGCATCTTGGCCCGTTTCTCGGGGAGTATGGGATCTAAGGAAAGGAACGTTCCTTCTTGCTTGATCCCTGAACTTCCAAATGCTCAGATACCCACTCGAGGGGTATGATGGAGCGGGAGGCAAGTTTGGGTGAGGGATGAAGGGAGAATGGGGCAGGTAGGGGCAGTGGGAGTGACCCAGGGGCTGCTCTGTCTATGCCAGGGGTCCTGGAGGAAGCTGAGTTCTACAACATTGGCCCCCTGATCCGCATCATCAAAGACCGGATGGAGGAGAAGGACTACACTGTCACACAGGTCAGATGCCATGGCCAGGGCAGGGTGGAGGGGAAACGAGGCCGGGGAGAGGGAGGGAAGCAGGAGAAAGGCTGGGAGAAGCAGGACTGGTGTTTCCCTTGGGAAGGCCCAGCTGGCCTGTAAGGGGAGGGGTGGTTGTTGGGCTCCCAGACGGCCCAGCACTTCTCCAGACTGGGACACAGATGCCTGGGTTCTGTCCTTACATCAGTACCATTCGCTGTGTGACCTTGGGCTTGTCATGCCCCTCTCTGGACCGTGGTTTCCCCTTGTGGAATACAGAGGTGCTGAGAACTGCCCAGCCATGCCTCCCTCATACACAAAATGGGGTTAGTGTGGAGGTAGGGGGGCCCTGCAGGGGCCAGTGCAGGAGCAGCAAGTTGTCCATTATGTGGACTCAAATGGTCCCCTACTCAGTGGCCATTCTACAGGAGGAGATAGAGCTGAGATTCTCTGCCTGCCCTGGGGTAGATGCAGGAGATGGGCAGTGAGCCCCCACCTTCCAGCCCAAGGGTGTTCTTCTGGAAAGCCTGACCCAGGATGACCCCTGGCCCCTCCTGCCCTCCCTCATGTGTCACCTGGCTTCCACCTTCTTGCTGGGTGACTTTGGGCAAATAACAGAACCTCCCTGAGCCTCAGTGAAAATCCCTTGACTCATAGGGTTCTTGGAAGGATTAAATGAGATCAAGCATGTCGGGTGCCTGGCACATAGGTGCTCAGAACATGGCTCCTTTCCTCCCTCTCTGCCTCCTCCTTCTCTTCTCCCTTTCTCCTTCTAGATGTGTATGGTTGGGTGGGGGCAGGAGAGAAGAAAAACTTGGGGGGCTGGTGCTTGTCACCCTGCTGGGTGCCTGCCGTTCCCACGGGACCCTCCACACGCCCCTGTGCCTGCAGGTGCCGCCCAAGCACGTGTACCGCGTGCTGCAGTGTCAGGAGGAAGAGCTCACGCAGATGGTCTCCACCATGTCCGACGGCTGGCGCTTCGAGCAGGTGGGCTGGGGACATATGGGCGCCAGGGACCACCCAGCTCCTCCCAGCTCCCTGACCTAGCAGGCCCCTCCCCCACTGCAGCCTGGGCCTTGGGTTCCCCAGTGCAGCCCCCACCTGAACGTCTTCTTAAGACAAACTAAACAAGGCTGTCGAAGGCCATGCTGGGCAGCAGATTCACTGAGGAGAGGGGATGGGAGCCCCACCCTTTCACAGGGCAGCTCTGGGAGTCCCTTTGGTGGGGTCCTCACGGCAGCCATGTAGTAGTCTGCACCACAGTCTGGGGTACATCCCTGGCCCCGAGCTGACAGCTTGGGTACAAGGAGACGGTATCCACATAGAGGAGTGGAGTTCACCTTGGTGTAGAGCCCCATCCCTTCTCAGAGTCCATGCCTCCCATAACAATTCTATAGACATCGACACGTCCAGGTACAAGTGTCACCATAGTCAGGGCAGTCTGGAGCAGTGGCTTCCCATCAGGCATTTATAGTGACAGTCCCTTTTCAGGAACTCATGATGGCGGTTTGCCAGTCGGGATTTTTTACCACAGAGTCTTATCTAGCCATAGGACTGACCTGCCACCTTTACCAGATTTCCAGGGGAACAGAGCCAGAATATTAACCCATGACCAGGTTTGCCCTTGGAGAAGGAGAGGGTTTGCTAGCCCTTTATCACACCCACCGCAGCTCCCTTACATGTGGAGACTGAAGAAGGGAGAAGGCCAAGCAGTGTGGCTGGACAAGCCCAGCCCAGGAGTCAGAGGTCTGGTTTCACATCTAGGCCTCACCACTGACAGGCTGTGGGACCTCGAGCAAGCCATGTCTCCTCTCTGGGCCTCAGTTTCCTAATCTGTGATGTCGGCCAATACTACCTGCTTTGCAGGACTGTTGTCAAGAGTAGAAGGGTCATCGATGTAATTCCTGCCCAGGGTAGGACTCGAGACATTTGAGTTAGTGCCATACAAATCATTAGAAGTGGTTAAGCCTACAAGGCCGTAGGAAGGACTTGGGATCCCGGATTCTCATCCCCACTCCACCTCTTCCTGGCTGTGTGACTGCCTTTCCAAGCCTCGTTTGCCAAAGGCGCCAATACTCTCCTCCCTGACTGCCCCACAGTATGTGAGGGTGGACTGAGATCGGGTGTGTGCAAGGACTTATCAGCCAGAAAGGACCCCATGGGTGTGGTTACTCTAGGGACCCAGAACAAAGGCAGGCCCCTCTCAGGAGCCTGGAAGACTAGGTCAGAGGCCACTGGTCATTCACCCTCTAGCCTAAGGCACGGACAGCCTGTCCTACCTCTGCTTCCAAGAGTGAAGGGCATTTTCTATGGGGCTCCACGCATGCAAGCTGCAACCTGGCCCTGGGGTTGCTCCGGCCACATCTGGGACAGGGCAGCACCCTGCCTAGTACAGGCCTCTGCCTGATTTTAGAAAGTGGCCTCCTGGACCTGGGGCTGGGCATGGGGGCGGTGTGATGCAGCCACCCTCGTCCAGGGGTTGGGGTCAGCCACACCAGGTGGGGAGGGTGGACCTGCAGAACAGAACCAGAGATATAGGTGTGTCTGGTGGGGGGAGGGGGTAGAGAAGACTGTCTTTCTGCCCAGCGGTGCCTTCTAGAAACCGAGGGGTGGGCCTGAGGAGGACAGCAAGGTCAGGACGTAACTTGATGCCCTGATGGGTGCTCCCAGCCTATCCTTTCTCATCGTTCTCCCCGCGCCCCTCCCCTCAGCTGGTGAACATCGGCTCCTCCTACAACTATGGCAGTGAGGACCAGGCAGAGTTCCTGTGTGTGGTGTCCAAGGAGCTCTATAGCTCCCCACACGGGCTGAGCTCCGAGTCCAGCCGCAAAACCAAGGTGAGCCCACCAGCCTCAGCCACAGCCGTCCTGGTCCAAAGAGACCTCCCTTCTTTTCCATCCCCTCCCTGCCCCCACCTCGCTATCCCTGCTTCTTCTTTCTCCCTCCTGCTGAACACGCATAACCCTCCATGGTCACGGCTGCCATCATCCCATCCCATGCCGTCTGGGCTTCTGTCTGCTTGTACTGTTCCACGGGCCCAGGCTAGGGGACCATGAGATGGGACAGTCCAGCGTGGACTCAGATGGCCACGAGGCACGTGGTATGAGGAAGAGTACGCTGAGCTAGGGGTTGGGGGCACGGTGTGTCGCTTGCTCTCTGTGTGACCTCAGGCAAGTCCCAGCCCCTCCCAGCGCCTTCACTGTGTTCTCTGTTAAGTGACGAGATGGACCACGTACTCGCTGTGGTGCCTTCGAGCTTGGAACCTCTGAGAACCCAAGAGGCCAGTTTGTTCCCCAGGGGTGGGTGGAAGACCCCTGCTGGCCTGGGCTGGGGTGTGGAGGCCGCCTCTGGAAACCCTGCCCTGGCCCAGGCCTCCCCATCCAGGGCTCCACAGGACAAACGTCAGGAACTCTGCAGGGTCCAGCTCCTGCCTGTGGCCTGTGAGGCTGCCTCCTTCCCGAGGACACCCTCGCAGCCCCCGGCTGCTGTGGGGAGGGGACTGAGCAGAGGTCCTGTTACTTGGTTCTCAAGCTGTTTGGAAGCCTGGTGGGGTCGGTGGAGCAGGGAGAAGGGCAGCCATTCCTCCCAGAGGCCTGTCCCTGTGCAGTGGAGGCTTATGAACTCTGGCTTTCTGTCTGTCTGTCTGCCTCCTGTCCTGCTGTGACCCCCTGCCCACCCCACCCCACTGGTGCCAGTGGCTGGCACTGCCTTGCGGGGTACAGAGTGAGCTGCTGCTCTGCCTGTGTGGAGTGGCCGCTGGGCAAAGCCCCGGGCCTGGGGTTCCAGGGACTTGCTGACGTCCCAGATGTGGGAGGTGCCCGCCCTGGGCTTCCGTGGCCTCATTTCCACTCTCAGTCACTTCTCCTAATGGGGCCTTCCCATGTCCCCCTCCAGGATGCCCCAGCCACGCACCCACCCCATTCCTTTCATCCCCATGCCCCAGCCTTGCTTCCTGTGACAGTAACCAGATTGACCCATGAACATCCCCCACGGGGGTCCAACCTTGGCCGGCTTTCCCCAGACCCACCCCAAGCTTCCCAGGGGACTGGAGAAGACTCCCCAGCTTCTTTGGCTATAGCCCTCCACTCTCCGGGAGGTCCCCCTTACCCTGCCTGCCCCCCCACCCTGAGATAGGGAGTCCGTGAGGACAGCTGCCCGCGGCCCTGTCGCCCTTGTTAGTGTCTCCACTCTTTCTTCCCTGGGTCTGCCGGCTGGTTCACAGAGCACGGAGGAGCAGCTGGAGGAGCAGCATCAGGAGGAGGTGGAGGAGGTGGAGGTGGAACAGGTGCAGGTGGAGGCAGATACGCAGGAGAAAGGTGCAGCCACCCCCCGAGGAGAATGATTGCTAATAAAGCCGGAGCCTCCAGCCCACCCCCTGCTGGAGCCAGCTGCAGAACCTGGGGGCCCCCCACCGGGACTGCTGGGGGGTGGGCCACCAGGGGTAGCTCAGCCCCGCCGCCTCAGCCGCTTAACCATCCCTTCTCTCACTTTCTCTTTGCAGCCCAGTCATCTCAGGATCCCGCTAACCTTTTCTCCCTCCCACCACTGCCTCCTCCGCTTCCCGCTGGAGGTCCTGCCTCATCTTCACCCACCTCTTCTTTCTCCTGGATCTCATCTGCTCCCTGCCTCTTCCCTCTCTGCTCCTGTCCGGGTTTTCTCTCTGCCTGCTCACGCCTCCATCCTGGGGCTGCCCTGGTCCCAGCCTCCTGTGCCCTCCACCCAGGCCCCCTGGCCCCACACCCCAGAACCTTCTGCCTGCCGCCTCCTGTGCCCCCTCTGGCACCTCCTGCCTCCTGGCCTGGGGAGGAGGGGCACAGCTGTACCTCCTTGGGGCCTGCCAACCCAGCTGGGCACCCCTGAGGCCAGGCCCTGGCCACGGCCCTGCCCTGGCCCCGCTCCTCCTCTCCCCAGCGCCGCCGCCTCACGTTTCCTCCTTGCAGGTGCCCGTCCACACCCTCTCAGACCTGAGGCTGAGCTTGCAGTGAGGGCTTCTCCTCGGCCCTTTGCCCGCCCCCAGAGCCGCCGTCACTGGTTTGTAGCTTGGCGGAGCTGGAGGGCGGGCAGAAGCGAGGAGGGGGCTCACCTCTGACTCCTTGGACTTGCGCCGAGCTTTTGGCGGCTTTTCTCCCCCACCCACGTTTCTCGGCCTATCTTGGCCTTGGGTGTGAGGCTCTGAGAGGAGGAGAGAGTTAGGGTGGAAACGTTCCCACTTGCTGGTAAACGTCAGAGCCAGGCTGGGGAGGAGGGAAGGGACACTGAAGCCGGGGCCCGGACCTCATCCCTGTACACCCAGCAGCTCTGCTTCACTGCCTGCTGACACTGGTTCCATTTCCTGGGGCTGGGAGGACAGGCCCACAGCTGGATTCCCTGGATCTACAAGGAGTCAGCCAGAGCGGCTGAGGATCGGGGTATGGCCAGAAAAGCCCTGGCCAGGTGCTCAGAAGCCCCCATTCAGTCTTGGCTGCCTGCTGTGTGACCTTGGGCAAGTCACTGTCCTTCTCTGGGCCACAGTTGCCTCTAAAATGGGGAAGGACAGCTGGTCTCTGTGACCCCTTTTGCCTGGGACTGCAGTGACCTGCCTCTCCCATCCCTGACCCCTCTGGCCAGAGTCTTGGTAGAGAACCTGGATTCCCTAAGTGGCCACAGGAGAGCCACTACTCCCACCCCAGGTGGGGGTCCCCTTTCTGCCCACCCCTCTCAGCTCTGACTCCCTCTCTGGACCTCAGCCCCATGTCCTCCTCCAGAAGGGGGCCTGTGACTCACCTGCTCTTTCTCTCTCCCTCTCTCCCCGCTCCCTCCTTCCATTTCAATCTCCTCTCTGCCCTTCTCCTGGCCCTTGCATCCCCCCCACTGGCCCTGCCCCCTCATCCCAATCCCTGGTTTTCTGACCACCACCCCGCCCCCTGCCCCTTCCCCCTCTTATTTTCTAGCTGTTACAAGCCAGAGGTACCCGGATATGAGGCCTCAGATCACCTCCAGGGACTTGGGGTTCCAATCTAAAATCCTTTATTTTTGTACCATGGGGTGGGCCCCTGGCCTGAGGCGGAGGAAGCACGCTCCCCCTTGCCACCTCTGTCTGCACCTGTGGGGGTCCGCTTGGCCCTCTCAAGCCCTGAGGTGGGCCCTGGGACCCCTGGGCAGAACCATCTGCCTGTGGCCAAAGTGTGGCACCGTCCAGCTGTGTCTCCCCAGCCCCTCTGCCCCCTCCCCGGGGGCCCCCTGCTACATGGCAGATGTGCTCCCTCCTGGCCCAGTCACATCACCTCCTTGAGCCTTAGTCTTCGTGTCTGTTAGTCAGAGTAACTCCTCCCACCCCACCTACCTCACAGGGTTGTTGTGAGGGTGCAGAGAGGAACAGGGTTGGGAAAGCCCTCGGGGTGAATAAAGCGCTAGGCAGGGCCAGGGGCATGCCCTTCACCCCGCCTCGGCTCCTGGAAAGGACCAGCCTAACCCCCAACCGGACAGTATGTACAAGTGGAGGTTCAGGTATTGATAGGGGATGAAGGGTGTAGGGGTTTGGTACTGTCTGGAGGGGGGATGGGTGACTCGGCCTTTACCTTGGCTGTCCCCCTACCCATCTTCACTGCTAGCAGAGAGCCCTGGCCAAGGCCAGTGGGCAGAAGTGGGTCAGCAGGGCCTGTGAACGACTCAGGAACTTGTCAGGGGAGAGTCTGGGGTGGCGGAGGCTGAGGGGCCCCTCCTGTGTTGACTTCCCAGGATGGGTACCTGCTTCTCAGCTGTGTCCGACCCCACCATGTAATAATAAATCCTGAAGAAACAGCCCGGCCTGGCTGCCTCCCCTCTTTCTCTGGGCTACTTTTGGGGACAGGGGCTAAACTCAGGGTGGGACAGTCTGACCCAAAGGTAATGGAGCCTTTCCCTAAAGCCCAGAGACCCTGTCCTGTTGTCAGTCTCCTGTATGTGTGTGTGTTGGGGGTGGGGGTGCATGGCCACATCCTCTGCCCAGTGGTGGACACCGTGGGCAGCTGGTACAATAGAAACAGCCCAGGCTAGGGGCCAAGTCATGAGAGCTCAGCCTTGCTGGGGGACCTTTGGCAAATGCCTGCCACGTTCTGGGCCTCAGTTTCCTCATCTCTAAAGTGAGGGGTTGGACCAGGTAACCATAAGGCCCAATGCCCTGGAGTCATGCAGGCAGCCGGACCAACGTGGAGATTCTAAGGGGGCTGGGAATTCGGACTCCCTTGGAATCAGGAGACCCAACCCTCCCCAGCCTTGCTCCTGTCCTCCCCTGCCTCTCCCATTGTCGCATGGCCCTCTCCACTCACTGACTTCATTCTGAGCTGCCCAAGGCAGCCTTTGCTGCATCTGAAACCTCCCTGGGACACCGCCTCCCTTCCTGCTGTGACCCATCGGGCACCTCCACCCCTCCCTGCTCCTGCCAATCCATGTCCAGTCAGGCCCCAAGACCTAGATAAATAGCCAGGCTTTCCACCCCACCTCGCCCCCTAGGACACTACACGCCACCAAAGTTGGCTTCACTTTTTGTGTCCACCTTTGCTTGCATAAGAATCACAGGGTAGGGAGGGGGCTTGTTACAAGAACAGATTACTGTCCTTCCCCTACCCCCATTGAAAACCCATTGCCCTCGAGTTGATTCCGACTCATAGCGACCCTATAGGAAAGAGTAGAACTGCCCCGTAGGGCTTCCAAGGCTGTAAATCTTTATGGAAGCAGACTGCCACATCTTTCTCTCTAGGAGCCGCTGGTGTGTTTGAACCACCGGCCTTTTGGTTAGCAGCCCAGATTCTGATTAATTAAGACGGGATAGGGTACAGGAATTTGCATTTTAGCAACGCACCCAAGATGATTTCAACAAGGTAGGACTGAGAGAGCCACTGGGTGGAGTTCATTAACATCCTACCCCCACCCCCAGGTGTGTCCATCCACAGCAGCCACCCCACTGTCCAGCTCCCTGCCTCCAGGGCTGCTTCATCTCCTGGGGCCCGGACGTCCCATCTACCCGCAGCTGCCCCTCTATGCACAGATGGGGGCTGCTCCAGATCCAAAAAAACCTCTCCTAGTGGAGATGTCCCACCACTCATCTGTCAGTTTGTCCTGTTGTGGGGGCTTGTGTGTTGCTGTGTGATGCTGGAAGCTATGCTACTGATGTTTCAATTACCAGCAAGGTCACTCTTGGCGAAAAGATTACAGTGGAGCTTCCAAACTAAGACAGACTAGGAAGAAGGTCCTGGTGATCTACTTCTGAAAAAATTAGCCAGTGAAAACTTTATGGATATCAGCGAAACATTGTCTGATATAGTGCCGGAAGATGAGCCCCTCAGGTTGGAAGGCACTCAAAATATGACTAAGGAAGAGTTGCCTCCTATTTGACCTTAATGATTTGGATGGAGGAAGCCTTTCAGAGCTGGCATTTGCTGTGACAAAATGAGAAGAAACAGCTGCAAACATCCATTAATAATCGGAATGTGGAATGTATGAAATATGAATCTAGGAAAACTGGAAGTTGTCAAAAATGAAATAAAACACATAAACATCGATATCCTAGACATTAGTGAGCTGAAGTGGACCGGTATTGGCCATTTTGGATCAGATAATCTTATATGATCTACTGTGCCGGCAATGACAAATTGAAGAGGAATGGCGTTGCATTCATCGTCAAAAAGAACATTTCAAAATCTGTTCTGAAGTACAATGCTGTCAGTGATAGGATAATATCCCTACACCTACAAGGAAGACCAGTTAATATGACTATTACTCAAATTTACACCCCAACCACTAATGTCAGAGATGAAGAAATCGAAGACTTTTACCAACTTCTGCAGTCTGAAATTGATCAAACATGCAATCAAGATGCATTGATAATTATTGGTGATATGGAATGTGAAAATTGGAAGAGAAGAAGGATTAGTAGTTGGAAAATATGACCTTGGTGATGGAAACAGCGTCGAGGATCACCTGATAGAATTTTGCAAAACCAATGACTTTTTCATCGCAGATACTTTTTTTCAACAACAGACACGGTGACTATGCATGTGGACCTCACCAGACGGAATACACAGGAATCAAATTGACTATATCTCTGGGAAGAGATGATGGAGAAGCTCAAAACAAGGCTAGGGGCCAACTGGGGAACAGATTATCCATTGCTCATATGCAAGTTCAAGATGAAGCTGAAGAAAATTAGAGCAAGTGCATGAGAGCCAAAATATGACCTTGAGTACATCCCACCTGAATTTAGAGACCATCTCAAGAATAGAATTGACAATTGAACACTAATACCCAAAGGCCAGACCAGTTGTGGGATGACATCACATGTGAAGATAGCAAAAGATCATTAAAAAGACAGGAAAGAAAGAAAAGACCAAAATGGATATTAGAAGAGACTCTGAAACTTGCTGTTGAACACAGAGCAGCTAAAGTGAATGAAAGAAATGATAAAGGAGCTGAACAGAAGATTTCAAAGCGTGTCTCCAGAAGACAAAGTATTATAATGAAATGTGCAAAGACCTGGAGGTAGAAAACCAAAACGGAAGAACATGCTCAGCACTTCTCAAGCTGAAAGAACTGAAGAAAAAATTCAAGCCTTGAGTTTCAGTATTGAAGGATTCTATGGGCAGAATATTGACTGACACAGGAAGCATCAAAAGAAAATGGCAGGAATACACAGAGTCACTGTACCAAAAAGAATTGGTCGACATTCAACCATTTCAGGAGGTAGCATATAATGAAGAATCAATGGTATTGAAGGAAGAAGTGCAAGCCTCACTGAAGGCATTGACGAAAAACAAGACTTCAGGAATTGACAGAATACCAATTGAGATGTTTCAACAAATGGATGCACGCTGGAGGTGCTCACTTGTCTATGCCAAGAAATTTGGAAGACAGCTACCTGGCCAACCGACTGGAAGAGATCCATATTTGTGCCCATTCCAAAGAAAGATGATTCAACAGAATGTGGAAATTAACAAATAATACCATTAATTTCACACACAAGTAAAATTTTGCTGAAGATCATTCAAAGACAGTTGCAGCAGTACGTCAACAGGGAGCTGCCAGAAATTCAAGGCCGATTCAGAAGAGGACATGGTATGAGGAATATCATTAGTGATGTCAGATGGATCTTGGCTGAAAGCAGAGAATACCAGAAAAATGTTTACCTGTTGTTTTATTGACTATGCAAAGGCATTCAACTGTGGATAATAACAAATTATGGATAGCATTGCAAAGAATGGAAATTCCAGAACACTTAATTGTGCTCATGAGGAACCTGTACACAGATCAAGAGGCAGTTGTTCGAACAGAACAGAGGGATACTGCATTGTTTAAAGGTGTGCCTCAAGGTTCTATCATTTCACCATAGTTTTTCAATCTGTATGCTGAGCAAATAATCTGAGAAACTGAACTATATAAAGAAGAACTCAGCATCAGAATTGGAGGAAAACTCATTAACAACCTGTGATAAGCAGATGACACAGCCTTGCTTGCTGAAGGTGAAGAGGACTTGGAGCACTTACTGATGAAGATCAAAGACTACAGCCTTCATCACGGATTACACCTCAACATAAAGAACACAAGAATCCTCATGATTGGACCAATAAGCAACATAATGATAAACAGAAAAGAATTTAAGTTGTCAAGGATTTCATTTTACTTGGATCCACAGTCAATGCCCATGGAAGCAGACGTACTGCATTAGGCAAATTTGCTGCAAAAGACCTCTTTAAAGTGTTAAAAAGCAAAGATGTCACTTTGAGGACTAAGGTACACCTGACCCAAGCCATGGTATTTTCAGTGGCCTCATATGCATAGGAAAGCTAGACAATGAATAAGGAAGACCGAGGAAGAATTTTTGAATTATGGTGTTGGCTAAGAATCTTGAATATACATACCATGGACTGCCAGAAGAATGAACAAATCTGTCTTGGAAGAAGCACAGCCAGAAGCTCCTTAGTAGCAAGGATGGCAAGACTTTGTCTCACATACTTAGGACATGTTGTCAGGAGGGACCAGTCCCTGGAGAAGGACATCATGTCTGGTAAAGTAGAGGGTCATCAAAAAAGAGAAAGACCCTCAACAAGATGGATTGACACAGTGGCTGCAATGATGGGCTCAAGCATAGCAACAATTGTGAGAATAGTGAAGGACTAGGCAGTGTTCCGTTGTTTTGTACATAGGGTAACTATGAGTTGGAACCTACTGGACGGCACTTAACAACAGTGGAGATGTCCTTCTGAGGCCCTCCTTCCTGCCTCCTCCCAGTAGGGCTTCAAAAGTTCTCTACATTTGATCTCCAGCCCCAGCTGTAGTCTAGTTAGCCCCTACTTTCCGGTGGGGGCCTCCTTCACCCCCACCCCCACCCCAACTCCCCGTGTTTGCTGAGACTCCACTGGTCCAAGGCCATGCCCCCTCTCTGGCCATGCCCCTCAACGACTTCCTGCAGGGCCCACGCTCCCTGGGCCCTGCTCTGCTCTGGGCAAGGTGTCTGAATTGTCTCCTTGTCTCCTACATCTCCACAATGTCCCTTCCCACCCCCCAGCCCCTTCTGTGTTGTCAGCCTCCCAGACAGGATGGTCTCTGAAACCCCTCCCCACCCTCTTTCAGGCTCCAACCTGCCTCCTGGACATCTCCCTCTTGGTGGTCCTAGAGTCACCCGAGCTCATGGCACCTTCCTGGAGCCTTTCCCTCCCCAGAGCCCCCAGGTTAGGCAGTGGTTCCTCCATCGGCCACTGCTCAAGCTGGACACCTGGAAGTGAGTGTGGATGGCACCTCCTTCGTCCTCCCATCCCCACACAGTGAGTCACTAGGTCCTTTCAAGCCTGGGTTCTAAACAACCTCCCCCACCTCAACTGCTGCTGAATAAATGAGTCGAACAAACAGATGTAGTGCCGGAAGGGGAAGTAGTGGATTGACACACAGGAGACGGGGTCCCACACCAGGCTCCTGTCCTAGCCCTCAGTGGATCTTGAGGAGGTCCCTGCACCTCTCGGCATCAGTCACCTCCAAGGTCCCAGAAGTCCATCTGTTGCCCCACCCCTCACTCTGGCCTGAGGGTCACCAGATCGTTGCCTTTCTGGGGTTTCTCCCAGGGCCCTGGCAGCTGCCCTGGGGACTCCAGCTCTCAGCAGCTCCCCCCTGCTTCCACTGACTCCCCCTTGGCCTGCTGGTCTCTTGGCGAGCAGGCTGAGCAGGAAGCAGGGCCTGGTGCTGCCACGGGCAAGAGGCTGGGCAGGATCCCCATTCAAAACCACAGCAAGACCTTGGGTCAGGCAGCTTTATTCCCGAGGATAGCCAAGCTTGCCTCCAGGTGAGAGTCTGGGCGTTGGAGACTTGGGTGGCAGGTAGAGGTGGGGCGAGGACCCTGGGCCCAGGGTCCCCACCTTTGGCTTTGGTGGCAGCTGGGCCATGTGGCTGCTTGAGGGCTCTGTGGGCCCCCTCCTCCAGGGGCACCTTCCACCCCCACCTCTCACGTTAGCCCGGAGGGATTCACTGGCTGGAAGTGTATGCTGCCCAAGCAGCTTCTGTATTATGAGGACAGGGTCGTCTCAGATGCCCCCTGGGTACTGGAAGCCAGCATCATCCTGCTGAACCGCTTCCCCTCAAAGACGGGGGTGGAGGGAGGAGACTCAGGAGATTGGGGCGGGGGGAGACGGGGGTAGGAAAGAGGAGGAGGAGACTCAGGAGATATGGGGGCAGTTCATGGAAGGGGGTGGTGTAGGGCTGGATGTGACCCCCAGCTGGGCCTTATGTCCATCCTGGGCCCTTGGGAGATTCCTGGCCATCGGCGGGTAGCACTATCCTTCCTCGTGTGTCTTCCTGGGAGCAGACGTCAGGGAGCGGATGGGGGCCTTTCACCCCCTAGAATACTTGTTTCCCCACCTGGTGGGTGCCCAGCACTCTCTGAGTCCAGAAGGTGGGCCCCAGCTCTGCAAGGGGGCAGCTTCTCAGGTCAGCACCTGCTGGATCCAGCCAATCACACCTGTGATGCGGGTATAGACGCCGAAGTAGTTGGGCCGGCCACAGCCCAAGCCCCAGCTGACCAGCCCTGCCAGGAACCACCGGCCGCTGGGCTCCTTGCACACCAGGGGGCCGCCTGAGTCACCCTGAAGGGGAGAGAAGAGGTAGCTGTGCCAGGGTCCCCACTATGCAGACTGGGGCCGCAGGGGCTCCAGTCCTGACTGGACATGCCCCCTTAGAGAAGCCGAAACCATCTGGTTAATTTCGTGTGTCATCTCGGCTGGGCTGCAGTGCCCGTTATTTGATCAAACACTAGACTAGATGTTCCTCTGAAGGCGTTTTGTAGATGTGAGTAACGTTTATAATGAGTTGACTTTAAGTAAAGCAGATTACCCTCAGTAACGTGGGTGGGCCTCATCCAGTCAGTTGAAGGCCTCAAGAGCAAAAACAGGTTTCCCGAAGAAAGAAGAATTCTGCTTCAAGATTGTAACAGAAATCTTGACTGAGTTTCTAGCCTGCTGGTGTGCCCTATAAATTTCAGACATGCCAGTCCCTATAGTCATATGAGCCAATTCCTTAAAATACCCCCTGCCTATATAAATCGATTTTGTTTATAGATAGATAGACAAATAGATTCTTTTTCTCTGAAGAATCCTGACTGAGACCCCATCCCTGCTGGCCTCCAGCGGGTCCTGGCTTGATGGTTACTCTCCTGGAACCATGGGTGTGTGTTCCAATGCCTCTGTTGCTTAGGCGACACCCCTCCCCCGGGTGTCCTCCTAGAGTCCTAGAGTCCTCCCTAGTCTGTGGCCTTGGGCAAGTGCCTCTCGGTGAGCAAGGTGCAGAGCTAGGTCTGAGCCTAAGGCCTGCCCACCACAGGGTCTCTCCTGATCTATAGCTCTGCAACCTTGGGCAAGTCCCTCAACCAGTCTGAGCCTCAGTTTCCTCCTCTGTAAAGTGGGGACAGTCATCCCCACTTTCCTGGGAGGCTATGAGGATTCAGCAGGCTGATGTGAGCAGAGGGCCAGGCCCTGGGCGATGTGTCACCCCTTGCCCTCCCGACCACTGCCCGTGGAGTCACCTGGCAGGCATCCTTCCTGCCTTTGCGGTAGCCGGCACACAGCATGCGTGGTGTCACCTGATAGCGGTAGGCCTCGCTGCACAGGTCCTGTGGGATCAGCTGCACGTCCACCTTCTGCAGAGCATTGCTAGTGGGGCCTGGCCAGTGGGGTCAGGGGGTAGAGGTCAGAGGAGAGAAGAGGTGCCCGGGAGCACACCTGCATGCCTCCTTCTCCTATCTCTCTGCATCTCAGGAGCCCCCTGCCCACCCCCTGCCTCTCTTCCCCACAGTCACCCTGTTCCAGCTCCTTCTCTGCGTGGCTAATGCTGAGAGCCCCAAACCAAAGCCAACTTGGACCAGCCTCTTCCTCCAGGTTCTCCTCCCCTCCTTCCTCCTCTTCCTCCTCTTTATAAGTGTGTCTTGGCTCCTGGCGGCCCTCCCCTACTCTGTTACTCCTGGGGGATCTTTTCAGACATACATCTGACCCCTTCACTCTCCCCTTAAAACTCTTCAGCGTCTCCCCACCCTCCAGCCCAGTGCTTCTCCATGGGGGATTTAATGTACTTGGGCGCCCGGTCCCACTGCCAGAGATTTGGTCTCATTCGTCTGGGGTGGGGCCGAGGCACCAGTGTTTTTCTCGAAGCTCCTCAAGTGCTTCTAAAGTGCACTTCTAAGGTGCGGGCAGGGAGGAGAGCCCCGGCCCAAGCTTCTTCCAGAGGCCCGCAAGGCCCTGCCCTCCTCTTCCCTCTGACCCTCACCCAGATACACCCCCAGGCCCCCTCTAGCAGGCCCTGATGCTAGTGCGTGTCCCCAGGTCTGTCTTGGCACCTGTGCCTTTACCAGGAACACCTTTCCCCTTTGCCTGGCCAATCAATGCTGACTCTTCTTCCAAGCCTCAGCTTAGACACCCCCTCCTCCAGGAAGCCCTCCCTGACTCCAGCTGGGTGGGAGCCTCCTCTGAGCTGCCACTGCCCCCTGTACCACCCCATCCATCTCAGCTCTTACCACTGTCTGTCTCCACCAAGAATATTACCTTTTTTCATCTTTATACCCCTTCTGCCTAACTCGATGCCTGGCTAATAGTAGGTGCTCAATAAATCTGTGGTTGAATGAATGAATAAATGAGTGAGTGAACCAATCCTTGCTTTGCTACTACTCTGTCATCCTTATAGACAAGTTACTTTCCATCTCTGAGCCTCAGTTTCCCCATCCTTAAAATATCTCTACCTTGCAGTCTGCTACCAAATTCCGCAAATCATGTACACATTTTTTTTAAGCTACCACTACTCAGGTTCGAGGGACATGGCCTTTGTTTCACAGGAACTGAGAGGTGGCTTCTAGGGACAGCTGCTCTGCTCAATTTAGGCAGGAAGGGGAGAAAGCCCCTGCTTCGGAGAGGCGGCAGCAGAAAAAGCAGGAGCTGTGGAGCCAGGCGGCCCCTGCTTCCAGTCTCTGTTCCAACCCAGTCTAGCTGTGTGACTTTAAGCAACTGCTAAATGTCTCTAAGCCTCGGTTTCCCTGTCCATAAAATG